ATCACAATAAATAACACATTTTAAACGATTCTTCATCATTGTAGAAATGTGCTTTTTTTATGTCTTTTAAAAAATTGTTATCTAGACCTTTTTACGGGGTAACTTGAAACGGCCAACAAGTGGCAAACAAGTTTAATGTCTTATTTTAATTTTAAAGTATTTTACAAAATAATTACACTTTTAACTAATGCTAAAATAACTACCAAAGGAGGAAAATACTTTTATTATCGATTTTTAAAGATGGCCGTTTATTTCCCGATAGCAAAGTCATAAGAATCAAGGTTATGGCTGGTTATACATCTTTTTCCCTCTACTTTCAAATATTGTTGTTAAACAATGCTTAACTTTACTTTTTAACCCCGGACCTTTATATATTACTATCTATTTTTTGATAAATTCTGGGAAATTATAACTGGGAAAATGTTATTCGACAAAATGTTTCTTTGATTGATATCAAACTTAGGTTTTGAATTAAAATAACATAAATAAAAAATAATATAACCTAGAAAATGTTTTATAAATACCAATGAGTATATAATTAAATAAATGAGATCTTTCAGAGCACCGTGTTTGAGAAAAATATGCCAAAAAGTGCATTTTTATATTAACATTTCAAAAAAGTTGATATTTTGAGTTTCTAGTAACACTTGCGATCCGTTTAATAACGTTTTTGTGTATAAATATAACTACGAACAAAACTACTTACTACAATTTAATCATAATTAAATAATATTCACGTAAAACATCTAATAAACATCTAATGAATGTAATTGAACATCATCTGTCAAAAACGTTTGACATTTGACGGATTAGCCACCGTCCCTTGTTTTATTGAAAGTGCTTCTACTAAAATGTTCAAATTAAAAATGTAAAGTTTCTACGCGATTTTGAAATATTATCTCACCTTTCCGACAATCTCTGGATTGGCACGAATTTTTCAAGACTAAGACTGGCCAAATCGGTTTAGCCGTTTCGAGTTTTACCGGATCATTTGATCGAGAGCTCCATTTTTATATATAAGATATATACATGGATATATCCCTGAATCAAGTTGTAGTTTAACTCTGCTCACGGACCTGGCCTAGGGCAGTTCTTTATGACTAATATTTTTTAAATAAACTTGAAAAACACACTTCCAAAGTTGCTAAGTTTTAATATGAACAGATGTAGCAAGGATACTAATTAAAAAATGAAAATATATAGAATCAATCATTCATTGTGATACATAATTCTAATATATCAGTAAGCATAATATATAGTAAATAAATATGAATTAAATTTTCTCATCAGATTAAAGGAATGACATGCGCATCTTGTGTAAACAAAATTGAACGGGCGTGCTTGCGCGTTCCTGGTGTTTTGACTGCGGCGGTTGCGCTATCGACCCAGCGCGGTAAATTTACTTTTGACGCAGGAGAAACGGGTGCCAGAGATATCTGCGAAACAATTGATTCGTTAGGTTTCAAAGCTAGGCCTATTGCTCCAGGTGGAAGAAATGGGGCTATGCAGAGGGGTTACTTAGAACACAAGTGAGTGTTATTTTTCTGCTTTATGCTTTAATGTGAATACTACATCAAAGTTATAAATAAACATAAATTCATATTGTTCAATAGAATTATGATTTATGTTTGTTAACAAAACTCTCTTATGAAAAATATGTTCCGATATATAAACCAATATATACAACGTAGAATAATAATTTTGTCTGTCTTATAAAATAATATTGAATCTATACATGTTATTCATGTAATGAAGTTTAAAAACTGTACGGTGTTTCACAGATTTAATGTCTTATAAACTGTAGTAACGAGTTTTAAATAAATTAATACTTATAAAATTTAATTAATGAATAAATTAATATGTTTTTCATAATAGGGAAGAAATTAGAAAATGGCGTAACGCTTTCTTGATTTCTTTGGCATTTGGTGGACCTTGTATGGTTGCAATGGTGTATTTTATGGTTACCATGGAATTGCACAAACATTCTCCCGAGGAAATGTGCTGCGTAGTTCCAGGACTTAGTTTGGAAAATCTCGTCATGTTTGTGTTTTCTACACCAGTTCAGGTATAACTTATTACAAATATTTATGTTCGTGTATAAATCACCACAAATTAGTTTTTCTAAAAACTTAAATGATTAAATAAATTACTTTTAACGTTATTTTATTACAGTTCTTCGGCGGTTGGCATTTTTATGTCCAAGCATATCGCGCCATTCGTCGCGGAAACACTAATATGGACGTTTTAATATCAATGGCAACGACGATTAGTTATTTATATTCTTTAGCAGTTATTATTGCAGCAATGGCTTTAGAACAAAAAACATCGCCTCGAACATTTTTTGATACGCCACCTATGCTTTTAATTTTCATATCTTTAGGCCGATGGCTGGAGCATATAGCTAAAGTAAGTGTTCTAGAGTTATTCATAGAAATCATTTATATAAAAACTACATACGTTTTAATATTTTCTTTCTTTATTCTGTTGTATAATGTATATATATATATATATATATATATATACATTGTAAATGAAATTTTAGGGTAAAACCTCTGAGGCTTTATCAAAATTATTATCTCTGAAAGCTACAGACGCAACTTTAGTACAAATTGGTGAAGATTACAACATAATCAGTGAAAAATGTATCAGCGTAGACCTTGTACAGCGCGGGGATATTTTAAAGGTAATAATATAATGTATCATTTATTATTATAACTAGTTGGTATTGGTATTTAGCCTTGAGGCAAGTTACATGAACTTCCCGATATGTTTAAATAATCGACTTAATCAATAATAAAGAAATTAATTTATGAGTGATTTGAATACATAAATACACATAATTGAAAACGAACATGTTAACTCGGAGTATTTTCTAAAAGCAAATGTTCACAAATCAACACTTTTTATAATTGAACCTGTTTTCGTAGGAATTTAATGGTTTAGTATGTTCATTAAGACCATGTACTCTATTGTTATACCAAGTAAATCGTCTAATTCTAATTTTAGCAAACGTCAAAAAACTACTAAAATTAAACTACTTGTCGTAAGGCCGTAATATTTCAGTAAGTTCTATAAGACTATGATATATAGCGTCAAAAAAGTTCCATAAAAATCGGCTCAAAAATTTTTTTCAACAACGAATTACAAGACAACGGCTCGGTAAATTTTCACCTAAAACTAATCAGTATCATTCCCAACTAATATCTTACGAACACTTTTCGATTTTTAAAATCGATTCGGTAGTATGAGCTTAAATGTGGACGAAAAGTTTAATACTTTTTTTTCAAATTTCAAAGGAACGGCTTGGCCGATCGTCGCACAAAATTGACAAGCGATAATCCTCATTGAGACACATCAAATGGTTTTTGAATTTCTGAAATCGGTTCAAGCGTTTTTGAGCAAACGTCGATGAAAGGTCTAATTTTGACAAATTCCAAAAAAACGATACTAATTTTTGCAAACTTTGACAATTTTTTAAAGCTAAAAGAGTTGTCGTAGGGCCGTAATATTTTAGTATGATCTAGAAGACTATGGTATCTACCGCCAAAAAATAATAAAAAAAAAATTCAATACTTTATTACAAGAAAACGGCCCAGCCGATCTCTACCAAGAACTCATCAGCACAATTCTCAACCAATATCTTTAGAACGGTTTTTGAATTTTCAAAATCGATTCAGAACTGCGAGCTAAAACGTGTACGAAAAATTTTTCACTTTTCTGCTATTTACAAAGAAACGGCTTGGCTGATCGTCGCGCAAAATTGATAAACGCTAGTTCTCATCGCGATACATCGGATGGCTGTTAAAGGGTATGGGCGCATTGCCATACAGAATCGGCCCCACCCTGGTATTTAAATAATTTATACGCCATTTTATAGGTCTATTTGATAAAAACCGATATACCAATTTTCAACTTTGTACCTCATCTTATGGCCGAGATATCATTGAAAATATGCCAAAGTGGCCCCTTCTTTCAAACTCACTTTTTGGCGTAACCATGAAAGATATCGAAAAAATTTTTACGTGATTCTACTCACATTGACTCAGACTACATTATGTAGAACAATCGATTCCAAAAATCGTTTACTATTAGCTGAAAAACACAAAATAATTTTTCAATTGATTATTTTGGGTAGTGCATTTATTTGGACCACTTTCTAATTAGCGTTATTCGAAAGCCTATTGTTTTTTCTTTGAGTACTGCAAATATTGTTCAAATCAATTTAGTGGAACACATTGGAAAATTGAAAAGAACAGAGCAAGTACACCCGCGCGTAACGCTAATAGTACCCCGCAATTGCATAGAGTTCGTTCGGACGCAAAACAGTGCGCGATGCGCCGAAACGATTCTTAAGAAATTCTGAATGCGAAAATATTTATTTTTTAGTTATATATGTATAAATTCACGGAGTTTGAAATGTTTAGACATTATTAGTTTTACTATATTAATTAAATCACTAAAACTAGTGGTGTATCGTGCTTTAAGGCAAATTACTGGAACTTCCCGTACTATAATGAAATAAGAATATTGAATGCTTTCAAATATATTATTATAAATACTGTAACTTTTATTATTCGAATTTATAGACAAAATAAAAGTGCTCTTAAATTGAACGATGGCGTTTAAATATGTTAGCCTGAAAAGTGAATGAACAAAACTTAATGAAGCGGAGTTAGAAATTGCATAAACTGAATAGCAAAATTAAAATTATTTTTTCGATTCGAATTATTTTCGATAATAATTTTTGAGAATTAAAAAAAATATGTTTTTTTTTTTTAAAAAAAAAGAACAATCTTGTCGTCCAAAAAAGCAAAAGCTTTTTTGATTCATTTAAATCGGATTTTTCGTTCTCTTGAAAACTCGGTTTCTATCTTTGCTCCGTATCTCCGACTTGTATTTGTTAAAAACTAATCAGTACTTCTCCTCATCAAAAGGAATCGAATGTTCATTACATCATTCATACACGAAATATAACACAAATACACATACTCACATATAATTTTTTTCTATTGTATTCCAAAATGTTCAGAAACCTTCGAAACGTGAAGATGTGCAAACATTTTCGATTGCGATTTTTGAACGATTACAATAACTTACTTGCGGAAAGTTAAAAATATATACTGAAATTAAATGCATTTAAAATGTCGCTATATTATAAGTAGATGCGAATTAGCTAATACAAAATTAGTTAAAAAAACACGATCTTTCGCATAAACCACACAAAAGATACAAATATTATATTTATAAATAATATAATTTTCGAAATAAATTAATTAATATATTTTATATTATAAAAATAATAATTATTAGAATACTTTCAGTAATAATTTTTGTAAATTACTGAAGTACTATACAAAAAGTTTCTACATGAATTTTTTTTTATTTATTTTTCATAGCAAACTATACAAAGTACATTCAGCTATATTTTATTAGAGGTATATATTTTTTTACATCAAATGAAATTGTAGTACTGATAAAGAATGGTCACAATAAGGGCTTTATTGTCACAATGTTACAACTATCATTAAAAAAAAAAGTTTTTTTGTGTTTGTTGAAACTAAAATGTTTCATTATATCATTATTTCATATGTATATATACATATATAACTATAAAATAAATATTTTCGCATTCAGAATTTCTTAAGAATCGTTTCGGCGCATCGCGCACTGTTTTGCGTCCGAACGAACTCTATGCAATTGCAGGGTACTATTAGCGTTACGCGCGGGTGTACTTGCTCTGTTCTTTTCAATTTTCCAATGTGTTCCACTAAATTGATTTGAACAATATTTGCAGTACTCAAAGAAAAAACAATAGGCTTTCGAATAACGCTAATTAGAAAGTGGTCCAAATAAATGCACTACCCGAAATAATCAATTGAAAAATTATTTTGTCTTTTTCAGCTAATAGTAAACGATTTTTTGGAATCGATTGTTCTACATAATGTGGTCTGAGTCAATGTGAGTAGAATCATGTAAAATTTTTTTCGATATCTTTTATGGTTACGCCAAAAAGTGAGTTTGAAAGAAGGGGCCACTTTGGCATATTTTCAATGATATCTCGGCCATAAGATGAGGTACATAGTTGAAAATTGGTATATCGGTTTTTATCAAATAGACCTATAAAATGGCGTATAAATTATTTAAATACCAGGGTGGGGCCGATTCTGTATGGCAATGCGCCCATACCCTTTTTAAAATCGGTCCGGCCGTTTATGAGAAAACGTCGATTTATGGCAAAAAATTTGTTCACACACACGCGCACACACACACACACATACTTTTTCCAAATTTGGTCTCATTCGATTCAGAATGGTTTAGAACGTCGATAAAACATAAAATTAGCGAATCGGATTTTTTTATGAAAACATAAACTTCTCTTTCGGGAAGTTAATAAATACATTCTTCTAAAATATAACTTACAATTTTATTCATATTTTTAGGTTGTTCCAGGTTCAAAGGTGCCAGTGGATGGTAAAGTTGTTTTTGGACACTCAACATGTGATGAAAGTTTGATTACTGGTGAATCGATGCCAGTGGCTAAGAAGAAAGGTATATGTGAAGTTTTAAATATAAAATAATATATTGAAATATTTTGTTCTTTTCATTTTCAACACATGTTATAACAGGTAGTGTTGTGATTGGTGGTTCTATTAACCAAAATGGTTTACTTATAATGGCAGCAACACATACGGGTGAAAATACAACATTAGCACAAATAGTTCGTTTGGTTGAAGATGCCCAAACGTCCAAAGCTCCAATACAGCAACTGGCAGATAAAATTGCAGGGTATAAATATTGTACAGTAGGTACTAAACTAGATAGTTCAATTCATGACTTTTATGCATTTTAGGTATTTTGTTCCATTTGTAATTGCGGTGTCAACTGTAACACTTATTGGTTGGACAATCAGCGGGTATATGGATATGAATCACTTGCCAATACATGTAAGATTGTTTTTCAAATATTGTTATTTTTCAATTTCAATGCCAACATTTTTTTTAATTTGAAGCTGTTTTTTAACTTCCCGTAGGGCAAGTTACTGTAATCGCCCGACAGCGACACTTTGTAATCGTGTGTGTGTGTGTCTTTTTTGTATAGCGAAGGAAATGCTTTTATGCATCTAAGACTGATCTTTTATCCGACTAAAACCTCCGCTTTGCCCTTGCCTCTGGCTCCCACGGAAACCGCCGTTAGTCATTACTTCGTGGGGAAAGGATCTAGAATGTTATCATTTTTGCACTGATTTTATACTTATCTTTCACATGAGTGAAGTCCCATTCACCCTTCCTCTTTCCATAGATAGCATGTCAATTAGCACAACCCTCGCAAATATGTCTATTGCGTTCCTCAATTGTCAGTTGTCAGCATTACTTCAACAAAAGTACCTGGAGTAATTCTTAACCTCAATATCTCTTTTACATCGCCCTTAGAGTACTAAATCACGGGCACACGAAGAACATGTGCTCAGCATCTTCATTTTCGCTTAAACAATATGGGCATTTCGGCGAGCTATCGTGCTTGGAGCCTGTGTATGTGTGCGTGTGTATGTGTGTGAGTGTGTGTGTATGGATGGATACATTTTTTTGTTCGGCGCACGGATCAACCGTTTTGAATGTTTCAAACAACATCTACTATAACTTGGTATTCATTCTACTTCAAACAACTCTACTACGGTGCTGAAAATGCAACAGCCATCCTATAACTAGGTACACTTGTAGAGCTGTTTTGGTTCAACAGCCCATAAGATTCTTCCGCGCAACATATGAATGACTTTAGTAACTAGATATTGTTAAAGGTTTCATTATAAGTTTTGTTATCCACTTTTTTATTCCTTATAATATGCTTGTACAAACATGACAGTTTATATTATAAAAAAAATCTAAAAAAAATTGGCCTGGAAATTTTGTTAGGAAATAGACTTTTAGTTAAATTTTTTCTTAATTATTTATCATGTCTATATATAAACTCCTCGGTTCAATAAAAAATTATTCAAATTTTCTTATTGAATCCTCATACGAATTTCTTAATTCAATTGAAATTATTTATAGTTTTCAACATATCTGTAAACTAGTGGGGTGAATGGCATCGTGCCTTAAGGCAAATTGCTGGAACTTCCCGTACCGTAACGAAATGTTCGAGGAATATTATAACTGTTTTCAAATAGATTATCATGAATATTGTAACATTGTCTAATATTTATAAGAATTATATAAACTGAATTGCAAAGTTGAAATTATTTGTTCGAAGTATATTAGAACTAGTCAGATTTTTTTATTTTTTTTTATTCTCTTTATGAATTACAATCTGTCTTTACAAAAAGGAAGTCATTCAGTAATTTTGATGATATATGAAATATTAAACATTAGATCTAAAAGGATACCCAGTAGTAAGCCTTTTCAATTTTGATATATTTAAGGGGGTATTCTACTGTAGAATTTTGAAAAAATCGAAAAAAAATTTTTTCCATATTTTCAAAGTTTAGTTATTCAGAAATATGACATTAAAAGGATTTTTCAAAATTACTATTATTTCCTGAGTTATAGCCGTTTTAGTGACGTGGTTTCGGTTCGGGTCCGACTTGTCTCAAAACTTTGATCGCGCTTTTCTCGGAACTACTTTTTTCGAGCTGGCGGTAAGGATATCTCGAGTTCTAATGAACCGATTTTTTTTCAAATTTGGAGAGGATCTTCTCTATACATCGCTTTTATCGTATGGACCTTGCCCAAAACTATAACTTTTCATTTAGTATTTTTAAAAAATACGGAATTGCCAAAAAAACATGAAAAAAAATATATTTTTTTTCAAACTGCCGCCATTCGAACAAAAACAATTTTTTTTACTTATCCAAGGTTCATACGATAGCGGCATCTATTATAATTAAGAATCCATCTATTTTTTATGTTTCAAATCACCAGGAGGGTTGGAATCATGTACGCCAGGACACCCTCTTTTTTTGGGAACCTCCACTTTGACTGCTCATAACTTTGTGAATTTTAATTTTTTTTTTTTAATAATTTTTTGATGTAATAATAAAATATCAATAAACAAATGATAAAAAAATCGATAGTAAAAATATTATTTGTTTCCTTTATACAGCGCTTCAAAAACCGGGCGAAATTCATGACTCTAAAGTAGAATACCCCCTTAATTTAAATTTTGTGATTATATATATAGAGTAAACTTAAAAATAAAAAGATCTATGAGGTAAATGAGTATAAATTGTGAATTATAACAACAAATAAAAAAGACATAACTAATAAACTAAACACAATAAAAATATAAATAAACAACTAAATAAGTAGTACTGCTAATTAGAATGAATATATTATATATTATGTGGAGGTCAATGTGTCGAATCCGTCGAAGGGCGACATTGATTTTTTTTTAGCAGTTCGATGCAGCGCGACTTCAATAAATTCTTGGCCAGAATATTAGGATGGTTTTGTACTCTGCTCTTATATTTTTGACTAATTAATTTAATTTCTTCATTAATGGTGTTTATGTTTAGGTCTTGATGGACTAACCAGTTTGGTGTGTATTTGGGGGCGTTTAGTATTTGTTTCAAAAATTTGTTTTGGAAATAGTCAGAATTAAAAATAAAATCTGAATTATTTTCAATATACAAAAAAATTTTTATTGAAAAAAAAAATTGAAACAATTTTTTTCCAAAATCAATTATTTTGTTAAAACAAGCAGAAAGTTCTTTGAATCATTTAAATCGGACGCTTAGTTCACTCAATTTTTTTTTAACATTTAGCTCTGTATCTTCGAAATGGCTTGCCAAAAACTAATAACCATTTTTCCCAATCATTACTAATTGAATGTTTTTTAGATCATTCAAATCGGATACTCCGTTCTCTCAAAAACTCGATTTCTATTTTCTGCACTCTTTGCTCGGTATCTCCGAAACGGCTGGACCTGCCTTTGCCAAAAACTAATCAGCTCTTTTCTCTATCAATAGAAATCGAATGTTTTTTGAACCATTCAAATCGGTTGATCCGTGCGCCCGAAAACGTGACTGGAGATTTGTATCCATACGTACATATACACACACACACACATCCATTTTTTCTGAGGTATGCCAAAATGTTCAGAAACCTTCAAAACGTCGAGAAATGTAAAAATTTTCAATTTTGATTTTTGGCCCATTACAATAACTTACCCTACGGGAAGTTAATAAACATTTCAGTTTATTGAAAAAATATATGAATAACCATGTCAACTGAAAATTAACATCATTTTTGCAAATGCATTTGTATGTATATTGAATGGATAACTGATGGTTTAATCTTAAAAAAAAAAACAAAAAAAAAGTTTTACAAGTCATTATTAATTAATTACAGATGATAGTTAATACTAATTCGATTAATATTTTCAGGAGGAAGAAAAAACTGGTTTTACAGATACAGAAATAATATTCCAATACGCGTTCAGGTGTGCCCTATCTGTTCTGGCAATAGCGTGTCCTTGCGCGCTAGGTTTGGCCACGCCCACTGCGGTCATGGTAGCGACTGGTGTTGGAGCACTTAATGGTGTTCTGGTGAAAGGGGCAGGACCATTGGAGAATGCGCATAAGGTTGGATCTTAGAAATAATCTAATTAAAAAAAATGTGTACTTATGTGGTACGTTTCAATATACAATACAATATTTATGTGTCATCAATATTTATGGACAATATTTATGGCACTTTTTCGTGCTGAGGTGATACAGAATCTTTAATTATTGTAAATATTGTTAAAAAGTCTAAATATTGTTAAAGCATAATATTATTTGGTGTTCCATGTTATTACATGATTTTCATAATTCACTCATTTTCACTCTTAATCGCTATAATTATAGAATGTTCATAATATCCAATATTTTTCAATGAAAGATAAATTTTCACGTTAGGTTAACATGAACGATATAACAAATAATAAAATGTAAAAAAACTTGAATATTGCTTCTCAATTTTTCAAATTTACGAATTTTCATAGCATTCTTACCATTACAAATTCTAAATTTTATTCACTTTAAACTTATTACATTGATTTTATTTACTAACATCTTAAACATTGAATAATTTGTAATTACCATTTTCTATTTATTTTTCCTTCTCATTAGACAAACTTTTTTTCGACCATATTGTATTTTCGATTATTATGCGATTGTTATCAGCCGAAATCTGATGAATAATATTTATTCCAATTATCTAATTTAATTTAAAAATTGGAATATATTTAAAGAATTTTAATTATCAAGAGAGATCGAGATTCTCAAATAATTTTTTTAGCTTTTGTAATATTTTTTTTTAAATTTGATCTTTCCGTAGGTTTTTTTTTTTGTATAGCGAAGAAAATGCATTTATGCATTCTAGACTGGTTTCTTTCACCGACTAAAATCTCCGCTTTGTCTTTGTCTCTGGTCCCCACGGATACCGCCTTTATGCATTTCTTCGTTGGGAGATTCGTTAAAATCTAGAACGTTAAAATTCTCGCACTGAAACTATAGTTATCTTTTAAATCTTCTTCTTTTTAAAGATCGCAGTTCAATTAGCACTTCGGTAGCAAAAATGTCTATGACGTTTTACGCAGCCTCAGTTGTCAACATCACTTCTATAACAGTATGTGAAGAAATTTAATATTTATATTTAATATTTCTATAACAGTATGTGAAGAACCTTAATATCTCTTTTATACCGTCCCGTAGTGCGCAAAGAAGACGTGCTCAGTATCTTCGTTTTTGCCTAAATAATATTGGCTAACCGGCTATCGTGTTTGAAACGGTGTAGGTAGGTTCGAAAACTGTCGTGCCGTAATATCATTTATGTAGTGTAATAATTACTTCTCCATGCTTGTAAATTAGACAGATTTGGATGTTTGAAATGATACGAGTTTTGAGAGCATCAGCCCATATGGAAATACTATATGTAAACACCGTAGTAACCACTGATGACAGTAATACTCTTCTGCTTTGTTTTGGGCCTCCAACATCAGTCAAGCAAGACTCGCCCTAACTACTGACGCTTCAGCACTAACGTGTTCCATCTGTTGATTGAAATTTAATCGAGAATCAAGCATTACGCCTAAGTTAATAGATGTAAGATTTGGAAGCTAATTGGAGGTTTATTGTTTCCATCCAGCGAATAATTTTTCTCAAATTTGTGTCAAATACACTTAATATATCTTTTCCCATGATCTCATCAATTTGTTGGATGACGGTTTATTTGGTGTTTTTTCCTTTGAGAAGAAGTACTAATCTTTGCTGCTTCCATTTTTGTTGAAAAACCCCTTCTTTTAGACATGTATTACAGACACTAAAAAATATTGTCGGAGATGTCAATATTGATTCTTTTAAAGCGATATTAAGAATATTTTCTAATCCCGGTGCCTTACTATTTTCAACCCGATGACAAGTTTTGATCAGTTCTTGCAGTGTTATAGGTGGAATATCATGACTTACCTGGTAGTTTAAATCAGGGTGCCGTGGGAACAATGTCGTTACTATTATATTCAATAGTAGTGGGCAAGTCGGTGAAAGCATTAGCTGACTTTTGAGGCGAGACATTACAATATTATAAGGCTTTCCCTATGGGTTTTTCTCGACTTCGTCTAGAAGTTCTTTTCAGCACCTATTTTTACTATTTTTGATAACTTTAAGTATTTAGTTGCCGACGTGCCTGTTCGTATTCCACTACTAGTTGTGAGGAGTTTGGGAGACTATAGCCTCGCTTAGAGATTCTTCTTTTTCTAAGACACTTTTTATAAAGAAAGCTGATTTCTTTATTCAACCAGGGCACAGATTGTCTTCGATTTATGCCATGCTTACGAGTCATACTGACATTACTGGCTTCGGTTACTTTCTCCATCAGCTCTTTAGTATGCTCCTCAGCATATTCTGCAATAATAGGTTTGTAATTCAAGGTTATTCTCCACATAATGGCCTTAGATAGCTATAAATGTTTGCTCCTCCTAATTGTCTTTAAATGTCTTTTAATATTTCTATTCGTTGACATTTCCCAGATGATTGCATTGTGGTCACTAACATTGTAGATATCTAATACCTTCCAATTGCAACTTTGTCTGACGAGGCTGTTGCTAACAAAAGTGAAGTCCATTATTGAACTTGCATTGCCCTTGACGAAGGTTGGCTTATCACCGCTATTTAATAAAGCACATCCAGTGCTGAAAAGGCTTCAAACAGTATTTTATCTCTTGCATTAGTCAGCCTACTATCATAGTCTACCGCCCATGTGTTGAAGTCACCAGTATTGTTACGGGGTGGTGCTATTTTGCATCCTTTACTAGGCGATCTATGAAATCAAAAAAATCTAATATAGCAAGACTAGGTGGAGCGGAATAGCTGTATGAAGGTATGCCATCTAATGTTGTTGCTAAAAATCCAGCGTTGCTATTGTTAACAGCGTTTTGGAAACAAAATTTGCCACAGGACCAAAACAGCTTTGGTAGTACTGTCTGTTTCTCACGGACGATCAGTTAGTTGTTCTGATAAGTGGGCAATATCAATTTTCATTTCTCCTACCATCAGCATAAGCAAGTGTTTAGCCTCAAAATGATTCGTGTTCAACAGCATTAGGTTCATGTTTTTACTCTAACTTTCCGTCGGGTAAGTTAAAGTATTCGCAAAAAATTGAAATGGATTTTTTTACATATCTTTCGTTTTAAGATCTCTTGAACATTTTGTCAAACCTTAGAAAAAAATGGATGTGCGATTTAAATGATTCAAAAAACATTTCTTTTGTGTTGGCGGAATGAAGAATTGATTAAATTTTTGAGAAGGCAGAAGGACATTCAGGAATTTAAAATTAAACTTTTCAAAGTTATCTCTAGAAGTAAAAATTAAAATTCAAATTAAAAAATGAATGGTCTAAGAAAATCTAAAGTTTCGAAGTCATATTTTGAACTCATTTGTTGATAATTTGTTTAAAATAATTGTATAAAATTTTTTTTTTGTTTATTTGCAGTAATTTGCAGTTAATAATTTCATTTTTTTTCTATTCAGTCAAATTTGGCATATAATAATTATCACTAAAATTTAATATAACAATTACCACGAGAAATTTATTCATCTCCAGTTAAATTGGTTTAGGTGAAAACTGTGATATTTGATAAGACTGGAACTATTACCAATGGTGTTCCAATGACAAATAGGATTTGCTTGTTTGTCAAATCAAAACTTTATACAATGTCCAAAATCTTAGCCATCATTGGATCTGCTGAGGTTAACAGTGAACATCCCATTGGTTCCGGTAAGTAACTAAGTATTATACTTTTTTTAAGTAAGGACTAATTTTTTTAAAATGCAACATAATTAGCAAACGCTAAAATTATAAAATATGTTTTTTGCTTTTTTTTAGCAATTGTAAAATATGTAAAAGAAACTTTAGAGACTGATTTTTTTGGAAAGTGTTCTGATTTTCAAACTGTACCCGGTTGTGGTTTAAAATGTATGATTTCCAACACAAGCATGATTGAAGATAAGGCAAATAAAATGTCTAAAATGATCAATTATGAAAACAAAGTCAGGTAAATAATATAAACTAATTTTATCTCATATTAGTATAACTTTAATTACATTTGTCGTTTTAGGAGTGACATAAAGAGTGTAAAATTGAATGGTGTTCAGGTTGATCAGTTAGCTAGTTATGGTAATAATCAAGAAAAAAATTCATTTGACCTGCAACAGTTGCTCAGTATAGGAAATGATACAACACTCGAGAATGTAATTATACTTTTGATACCATATTTTAATGTGTTATGTGCGATTTGCACCATTAAATTGTAATAAATAATAATAGTATACTAGGTAACTTATTTTTTTTATTAATATCCAAAGTAATTGAAAATTAATATATTTTTTATATGAATTAATAGAACAAATACTAAGTTTAATAATATTTGATGTGTATTAATTACCTTGCTGCTTAATTTTAAAAGGAGATGATATTACTATACTGTAGCAGTATATGGCTTTAAATGGTTGCTAAATTTTATTTAGAAAACAATAATGCAGTATTCTATTTGAACTATTATTACATATCTATATATCTACACAAGCATATATCAGAACATAAATAAAAATGATTATTTATTAAGGGCCCATATAGTGTATGCATAGGAAATAGAGAGTGGATGGCTCGAAATGGTGTTCAGTTTTCACCAGAGGTTGATAAAACGATGAGAGAAGAAGAAAATGAAGGCCACACTGCCGTTTTGGTTGCTATAAATGGTAATTTGTAAAATATGCAAGTTTATAGGATAATTAACTGAATTAAGTTATATGTTAATTCTTATATGTTATGTTAGGTACTTTAGTATGCATGATATCAGTAGCAGACCTTGTGAAACCTGAAGCGCATTTGGCAGTTTATACACTCAAGAAAATGGGTTTAGATGTAATATTATTAACAGGTGACAACAAGAATACAGCCATTAGTATAGCTCGACAGGTCAGTTCGGGAATGAAATGTTTTTTTAAATATGCCTTTCATATTTATCACATTACTATTTTGAATTTTTGAATATTCATTCACTATATTACATATGCAATGCAGTTTTATTTAAGTTAATACACATACTGAATTAAATAAAGTTTATGGTTAACTTCTGTTTAGGTTGGGATAACTAGAGTTTTTGCTGAAGTTTTGCCTTCCCACAAAGTTGCGAAAGTGGCTCGCCTGCAAGGCGTCAGCGCAGCTGGCGAGAGGGTTTCGTCCAAGGGCGGTGGCGTTGCGATGGTGGGCGATGGAGTAAACGATAGTCCAGCATTGGCCCAGGCTGATGTGGGTGTGGCCATTGCAGCTGGAACTGACGTGGCGGCTGAAGCTGCTGATATCGTACTTATGCGGGTAATTTCATTTTCTGGAAGTTCATCGCGATGTAGTTTTATAATAATAAAATACTTAAAGGTTCTATATAATAAAATATTTTCTCATCTACCCTAGAATGATTTACTAGATGTGATAGCATGTCTGGACTTATCAAGGAAAACAGTACGTAGGATAAGACTAAACTTTTTATTTGCATCAATGTATAATTTGCTTGGTATACCTCTTGCTGCAGGCATTTTTAGCCCATTTGGTTTCGTATTAGAGGTTTGTAAATGTATTTTATTACTTTGCATCCTTTTATAAGATAATAATTATCTAATGTTTGTTATTTAGCCTTGGATGGCTTCAGCTGCTATGGCCATGAGTTCTGTATCCGTTGTCTGTTCATCACTTCTTCTTAAATTGTGAGTAAAACCGAAACACTAAAAGAGCTAGTTGGTATTGGTATTTTGCCTTGAGGCAAATTACATGAACTTCCCGATATGTGTAAATAATCGACTTAATCAATAAAAAATAAATTAATTTATGAGTGATTGAAAGTATTCATAGTAAATTTATTACACATAATTAAAAACAAACGAACGCGTTAACTCGAAGTATTTTCTAAAAGCAAATTTTCAAAAATCAACAATTTTTATTTTTAATTGACGAAAAGTTTAACACTTTTTTCCAACTCACAAAGAAACGCCTCGGCGTTTGCAAATCACGAAAGAACAGTTCGGCCGATCGTCGCATAAAACTGAGAAACGATAATCCTCATAGGTACATCAAATGGCTTCTAAATTTCTGAAATCAGTTCAGGCGTTTTTGAGCAAACGTCGATGAAAGGTCTAATTTTGACAAATGCCAAAAAAACGATACTTATTTTTGCAAACTTTGACGAATTTTTAAAGTTAAACTTTTTAAAGAGTTGTCGTAGGGCCGTAATATTTCAGTATGATCTATAAGACTATGGTATCTACCGTCAAAAAAATAATAATAAAAATCGCCGAAATTTTTTTTCAACACTTTATTACAAGAAAACGGTCTGGCCAATCTTTACCAAAATCTAATCAGCAACATTTCCAAAAAATATCTTTTGAACAGTTTTTGAATTTTTTAAATCGATTCACAATTGCGGGCAAAATCGTATACAATTTTTTTTTACTTTTCTGCGATTTACAAAGAAACGGTTTGGCCGATTGTTGCGCAAAACTGACAAACGATAGTCCTCATCGAGATACATCGAATGGCTTTTAAATTATTGAAATCGGTCCAGCCGATTTACGGCTAAAAATCTGTTCACATACATACAAACACACACACACACACACACATGCTGTTTGGTCTCATTCGATTCAGAATGGCTTGAAATGTCGAGAAAACATAAAATTAGCGAATCGATTTTTTTGATGAAAAAGTTAATAATACAGAGATAAAATTAACTTTATTCGCTTTACAGTATGGTTATTCTTTTAGTGATTATTATATTATATGTTTTTTGTATAATGTGCATATATTTTTAATACTACATCTTTCCACACATTGTAGGTATCGCAAACCAACAATGGAGTCCCTTCAAACTCCTGAATACTTAGCTCTGCTTCAAGAACGGGAAGTTCTTTTAGGAAGTGGACAATACCATGATGATCTAGATGACATTAGCGTTCACAGAGGCTTGGAAGATCATAGGCCTGCTGTTGATTTAACAGCTTCTGGCGTCAGAAACAATTCCAGTGCGGCTTTGACTAGGTATAATAGACTATGCTAATATGCTGCTTGCTGCACATGCTAACCTTTTCAGTGTTATATTTTGGATATTCATGACCTAACTATATTCATAAATGTTGCATGATTCTACAGAGTTGTGTTATAAAATGAAGGACAAGACAATTTTAAGTTTATCTGCACCTTTCAAAAAGTTTGTGTTCAAAGAAAGATCATTGTAGTAAAATGAGAGTTATTTCAAAGTTATATTGTTATAATTGTAGTACATGAATATGTAAGCAATTATCCATGACTTCTTTATATGACAAATGCATGGGCTCGCAATTAAAGAAAATATTTTTTTAAAATAACATTTAAAAATCATATTTTAATTTTTTATTTTCTCGCATTATTTGCACCTAATAATTAATTATTCATTTTGAATCAGAGATAGTAGTACTCAAAATAGAACAATAAATTAGCTTTGTCTTGATAACTGTTCTATCTTTGGATTAATAGTGTGAAAGTTATATTATGTACTAATATTTAATATATACTGCTTGAAATTTGAAAATAATTACTTAATCTACAGTCACAAAAAGACTTGTATATAAAAGTATATATATATATATATATATATATATATATGCAGTAGAACCTCGATTAACCAGACTAATTGTTGTCGATAGGCATTCAGATAATCGAAAATCTGGATAATCGAATGTATAAAGAATTATGTTGTGAATTTATTAAAAATAAAAAATACTTACATAGATATGTTTGTATTTATGTATGTACATATATATATATATATATATATATATATATTCCTAGATTATATTACATACGTATACTAAATTGCAGCAATAATTGTGCAAAAATTCGAATTGTAGGTATATTTGTCCCGGTTAGTAGTCCAGATAATCGCGAATCCGTATAACTGAGGTTCTACTGTAGTATATTTTGTAAACCATTGTGCAATATGTGATATTAATATATTAAAACTCATTAATGCTGCTTTATTTCACCAGCAACTAATAATATTGCAACTAACACTTATATTATTGTGCGATTTTTAAATGATGTTTTAAAAATTGTTTTTGTGGAGCTTACTTTTTACTGAAAAAATTATTGTTATTGTTTACATTCTGCTTTATTTTTATTTTATAATAACATATCAGTAACCTTAAACATTCTTACAAAAAGACAATTTGCTGTAGAGATCTAGTGAGGTATCAGAACAAAAATGTGAAGAGAATTTATTTCAAAACGAATCAAATTGCTCCACTGCAAACTTAGTCGGATCAATTATTTTATGCATGAATCGAACAAGATAAACTGTCTATTATAATAATTGTAAATAAAGACACAATATATGTTGTTAATTATAACATGTAAAACAAAAAAATATATATTTTGTTACTAATTCTTTAAGAAAATATATCATATTGTTTGTGATTATAGTATATTTGTTTATATATATAAGGAAATATGGTAACTCTGCACTTAAAACCACTTTGATTATTAAATTAATAGCAATTGTAATTCAATAGTTTAAGAGTTGAGTTATTCACCTCACTCCTCTCAATGCATTCACTTATTTATATCTCGCTCTAAATCATTGTCACAAAAACTAAGATTAGTGCTTTGTTAATTACTAATTATTTTTATTCATATGCTTCATATAAGACTTATACTTATACATTTATGGTCACAGGATTACACTCATCACAGTAAACAATTTACACTAATAAAAAACTAACTATTGGTGTATGACACTGTGCCTTAAGGCAAATTGCTGGAACTTCCCGTACCGTAACGAAATGTTTGAGAAATCTTAAATGTTTTCAAATAGATTATTATAAATATTGTAACATTGTCTAATATTTATAAGAATTATATAAACTGAATTGCAAAGTTGAAATTATTTGTTTAAAGTATATTAGAGCATTAGTCAGAATTAATATTAAAATCAGTATTTTTTTATATACAAAAAAAATTATGTAAAAAAGCAATTATTTTGTTATAACAAGGAGAAAGTTCTTTGAATCATTCAAATCGGACGCTTAGTTCTCTCAAAAACTGCCATTTTTTGCACATTTTGCTTCGGTATCTCTGAAACGACTGGACCTGCCTTCGCCAAAAACTAATCATCACTTATCCTCGTCATTATAAATTGAATGATTTTTGGATCATTCAAATCGGATGCTCCGTTTTCCCAAAAACTCAATTTCTATTTTTTGCACTCTTTGCTTCGTATCTCTGTAACGGATGGACCTGCCTCTTCCAAAAATTAGTCAGCACAACTCCCTATCAATAGGAATTGAATGCTTTTTGAACAATTCAAACCGGTTGATCCGTGCCTGATAACGTGACTGGAAATTTGTATCCATACATACATACACACACACACATCCATTTTTTCAGAGGTATGCCAAAATGTTCAGAAACCTTTAAAACGTCGAGAATTGAAACGTTGGAATC